AGCAGAATTCAGTGGATGCTAATGTGTTCATGTGTAGATAGGAACACGTAGTACCTTTAGACAGGTACCTTAGGACAGGCGAAAACCTCGTTTACAAAAAGGCCATTTAAGTGTCCGCTAATCTACCTAAGACCTTAAGAGAGTAAATATACCTGGGAAGGTAGTACTTGATTCTAGGTTTGAAAGCAACATTGATAAAGTGAACAAACAGATAAACTTGCAGGGTGAAAATGTAGCTTAGTAGAAAGGAGAGCAATTACCTTGGGTTTCATTCTTAGCATCAGAAGAGAAACACCAACACTTGCAAATAGAATTTAAATAATATGCATTTAAAAAGCAAACGGGGCCAGAGAGCTGGCTTGGTGGGTAAAGAGAACTTGATTCTCACCCAATGAACTAAGTTCAGTTCTCAGTCCATGCTGGGTAGCTCACAATAGTCTGTAACTCTAGGTCCAGGGGCTCTGACACCCTCTTCTGGTCATCACAGACGAGAGAGAGAGAGAGAGAGAGAGAGAGAGAGAGAGAGAGAGAGAGAGAGAGAATGAGAATAAACATAGATCTAAAAAAAAAATAGGAGAACCCTACTACTAAAAAGTCAACTAAAAATGGATCAAAGGGCCAAATACAAGAGCTATAATTACGCATTGCTTACATAGACTTAGATCTTCATGCTCTTAAATTCAACAATGAATTTTTAGATATGACACAAAAATCACAGAAAACCAACAAACATTGGGACTTTACCAAAGTTAAACACTTGTGAGCCAAAGGACAAGATGACAAGATCCAAAAAAAAAAAAGACAGGCCAGTCTACAGAATATCCACAGAGTTTACATGTGATAGGGACCTAGTTCTCAGAGTTTACAAACACAACAAAGACAAGCAGGGCTGGGTTGGGGTAAGGCTCCTAGAGATTTAGAAATGGCCAAAGTATACAGGAAAAGATGCTCAACATCATGAGTCAGTAAAGAAATAGAAATCAAGAGCAGAGTAAAACATTCAATTAGCTAGGCCTGGAGGTTAATTCCACCATGTTGTTAATCCGTGCAGGCGCGCGTGTATATGTGTGTGTGTGTGTGTGTGTGTGTGTGTGTGTGTGTGGTGGTGGTGGTGGTGGCGGCGGCTGCGGGGTGTATAGTAGGAGGATCCAGAGGTCAAGGGTAATCTAAGTTACAGATTAGTGAGGTCTCTAGTGAGACTGTATCTCAAGAGCAACAGCAGGAGCTGGGGAGATGGGTTGGGGGTTAAGAGCACTGGCTGTTCTTCCACAGGTCGCCGCGTTCAATTCCCAGCAACCATATGGTGGCTCACAGCCATCTGTAATGAGATCTGGTGCCCTCTTCTGGCCTGCAGGCACACATGCAGGCAGAACACTGTGTACATAATAAATAAACCTTTTTTTTTTTAAAAAAAAACAAACAACTTTTTTTTTTTAAAAAAAAAGAGCAACAGCAAAGATTATTAATTTATACCTATTGGGCCAGACAGTGGTGGCACATTCCTTAATCCCAACATTTAGGAGGGAGAGGCAGGAAGGTCTCTGAGTTCGAGGCCAGCCTAGTCTATAGAGTAAGTTCCAGGACAGTCAGGGCTACACAGTAAAACCCTGTCTTAAAAAGCAAACAGACAAAAACCAGAACAACAAAAACAACAACAACAACAAAAAACAGAGCAAATCCTAAAAACACAAACAAAAATAATTCATACCTATTATGATGCCTAGAATACTGGGACCTGTTTCTACTACATGTGCTGGCTTTTTAGGACCCTAGTCCATTTGGATGCACACCTTCCTAGGCCTGGATGGAGGGGGGAGGGCCTTGGACTTCCTACAGGGCAGGGTACCCTGCCCTCTCTAAGGAGGGAGGGGGTGGGGGTGGGGGAGTGGGACGGAGATGGGAGGAGGGGAGGAAGTGTAAATTTTTGAATGGAAAAATAAAAAAACAAACAAAACAAAAACAAACAAACAAAAGCAACCAGAAAAACAAGTGTTGACAAAAGATGTAAAGAAGTTAGAATCTTTGTTCAATGGTGGTAGGAAAAATATTCAGTTATTGTGGAAATCAGTTGGTGGTACCTCAAAATTAAGCAGAATTACCATATGTAATTCAGTACGGTCCAATGGTTCTACCCCTAAGGATATACCCAAAGAATTGCAAATCGATACTCACATACATGCTATGTATTGTCATGGTGCCAGTACCCATAAAGCAGAAACAATGTCCCAGTCCACCAGCGCATAAATAAGCAAAGCACAGTCCCTACATACAACGGAGTGTTATCAAGCAGTAAGGCAGAGAGCAGTACTGATACTCCAATATAATACAAAATAGTACTGATACTACAGCATGGCTAAACCTGGAAAGCAGTATCCCAAACACGATTCTTAGACACACAATTCAAGTTATATAAAATCTTCACAACAGGCAAGCCCAAAGAGCCAGAAAGCCAGTTGGCTATTGCTGGGGTCTAGAGAGGGAAATGGGGTGTCTGTTTAATGAATTTTGGGTGAAAAATGCTTTGAAACTAGACAGATGTGTAAGACTTTAAGACAATCCTGAAGACATTTTTGACAATTCTGAATCCTCTCAGCCTCTGTGCCATAGTGCTTCCCCTCCTCCCCTGGGAACCAAGAACCTAACAGCTACACTCACACGTACTTAGTTCCTGAACAATTACCCATATACGTATGCTTTGGTTCAGTCCCCTGGGAAACGGGGTCAAAATGACCTCTTACCTCATCTGATCTGGCAACAGCTCTCCAGTCAATTATTGGTAATAGCCCTTTCAAATAAGCCAATCAGAATAGTCAAAGAACAACCCCCCTTGCTTCTGTGGCCCCTTTAAAAGTAGACTGTACCAGCTATTTGAGGTCCCTCGGCTTCCCGAATGCTGGGGGACCCTGTTATGACAGAATTAATAAAATCCTCATGCTTTTGCATCATCTGTGGTGTGTGAGGTGGTCTCTGGAGGCAACTCCTCCTTGGTATTTGGACGCTAGAGTCCAACAATGTGGTGATTGTCTAACAGTGAGATCTAGTAAACGGCACTGAAGTGTATATTTCGATATATGACTTTTATCCCAATTATAAAGATTTTTATTTCATGTGTATGAAGGTTTGCATGTTCGTGTGCCACGTTAAGTGCCTGTTGCTGAAGGAGGCCAAAAGAGGGTGCTGGATCCCATGCAACTAACTGGTTGTGTCCTGTCATGAGGATGCTGGGAATCAAATCTGGTCCTCTGTCAGAGCAGTTGCTGAGCCATCTCTCCTTATACAAACGTCAAAAAAGTAAAATTGGGGGGAAACCCCCACAATTGTTTTCAAAATCAAACTAAGACAGAGTCATGTGGTGCCCCTCCCCTAGCCGGTAGCTCCAGAGAACACAGTGAGAGCAGTTACAGGACAACTCTGACATAATAAGGAAGGACTTTCTGTCTGGACTGTTCACCAGTGGAAGGGGCTGTCTCTAGAGGAAGTGAGGTTACTCTTTACGGAAAAAGTGCAGGAAGAGCTCCCAGGGAAGTTACTGGGAAATTTTCCCTATAAGGTGTGGCTCGTGGTTTTATTTGCTTTAATTATTTTGAAAACCAACCTACTTTCCATTACTGTAGTTATACTGACTGACAAGTAGCCATTTACAAATTTACAAAGAAGGTCCCGAGCTAAAGCATCCCTTCAGTTTCAGTTCTAGACATAGGCCAATCTTCTCAGGCATGTGCTGAAAAGGTCTGGCCTTTTGCGGGGGGGGGGGGGGGGGGAGGGCAGTTTAATGGCACAAAGCTTGCCTAGCATGTATGAGACCTTAAGTTCCCAGCACGAAAATGGGAAGGGGAATGCTGGCCCGGAAAAGAGAACTATGAATCAGAGCGGCTGAGACGGTGACCCTTTGTACTTGAGTTCACAGCTCCAGTCACTAGCTTCTGCTAGTCTTTGGCGGAGGGGGGGTGTGTGTTGCACTAAGCACGTTAGCACCTAACTATGTGCAATACATTAAGGATCAAACCCGCAGTGAATGAGGTCCTCGCGAAGATCATTTCCGAAAAAAAAACCAAGTTCCGAAAACTTCAGTTTTAATTCACATACATATCCTACTACTAAAACTTCATGATCGTTAGAAAGTTGGACAGTAAACTAACCCAAGTGCTGTGCCAGCCAAATTCGAAAACATCAGCAAGGGATATATATAGGATAATATATCGCAATTGACTTGGATAATCTCTAGACTGAACTCACAGCTCCACGAACTCATTTTGTTGCGTGTTTGCGTTGAGCAAATTGGAAGTTAACACCTGCTTCAGCTACTGAGACCCGCTGCAAGGCAGTGAAAGTCAGGCGGGCGGGGCTCCCCGGGGAGGGACCGGCCCAGTTCAGGAGGATCCCGGGGATGCCCAGTTCCTAAGGTGGAACACAACTCCCTCGGGCGCTCAGAGGAAAGCCCAAGTCGACCGCCCCCGGCCCAGGCAGGTCTGAAACCATAGGCGCCTCTGAGGATTGCGCAAGTCTTTCCCTCCCCCGCCTGCTCGGTGGCATGTTTCTAAAATTCCCATCTGCACAACATAAACAGGAAACGTGCAGCAAAAAGCCTTGGCGGTGCAAATTCCAAGCTTCCAGCGAGGGCGGGAGAATCTCCTCCCGGCTGCCAGTGGTAACAAGCAGCAAAAAAGAGTAAACTTTCCAAGTGACCCCGCGCCCCTTCGCTCGCTTTCCCCCTAACTGCAAAAGGGAGAGAAGGCGGAAGGAAGGACCCCAGCTCCAGGAAAATAAAGACTAGGGGAGGGGGGGCGTTGGGGCAGCAGCCCGGCTCTAAGCGCGCGGCCTCCTCCGCGGCGGCGCGTGGCGAGGCCGCGCCCGACCGCCCACTTCCCGGGCCGCGTGTCCCAGCGGCCTCGGAGCGCCGCGTGGGCTCGCGAACGCCGGGCATCGGGTCGCCGAGTCCTCTCGGGTGGGGCGGGGGAGGGGCGGGCACGAGGCGCGGCGCAGGCGCAGTGCGCGCCTCGGTTGTCAAACATGGCTGAAGCGCCGCTGCTACCGCTACAGCCGCTCAAGGGAAAATGCTGAGCTCGCCCGGGCCAGGTGGGCGGCGGCGGCGAGGGCGGCGACGGGAATCCGCTTCCCGGGCGCGGCGGCGGCGGTCATGGCTCGGCTGGCCGACTACTTCATTGTGGTAGGCTACGACCACGAGAAGCCAGGTAAGGGTGTGGGGCGGCGCCGCCCCCGGGCCTCGCCTCCGCCCCCGGCAGCCGTCCAGTGGGCTCGGCGGGGCTGGGCGTCGAGGCCGAGAGGCGGGGAGGCGGGAGGGCCGGGTCCCGCGGTGCAGGAGCGGTGGGTGGACTGGGGTCGGGCCTTCGCCGCGCGGGCGAGGCTGGCTGGCGGTGGGCGTGTGTCAGGGGACCGCGGGAAGGCGGTCGCGGGCCTAGGCCTTGGCGGTGCGACCGGGGGCGGGGGGCTGGGTCGGTGGAGAGCCTGCCCGCGCGGCGCCACGCTCTTCTGTGGCGGCTGCGGGCGCCCGGGACCGCGCCCTCATGCCGGCGGCGTTGGGAGGGCGGGAGCACACTGTGCGGAGTTCCTAGGAGTCCACTTGTGTCCTGCATCCTGAGTAAGAGTGACGCTGGGGGCCGTCCTCCCGGAGAGGAAGTGCCGAGAGTCCAGCGCTGCCGCCCGCCCTCTGGGGGGCCATGCACATCCCGGCCGAACGCCGGGTGCTAGGAAAGGAAAGGCCAGAGGATCTGTGCGTGCACTGTGAAACATTTCTAGGAAATTCTTTCAGGACTTAGGTGCCGGCGTTCCGGAACGAAGTGATTCTCTTTAGATACCCAGCCACCCACTTGCAGGTGCCCTCGCTGAGCTTTCATGCATTTTGATTGTTCTCCCCAGTCGTCAGAGAATTCTTCGCAAGGAACAATTTAGCAGATGCATTGCTTTTTATACTTTTGATTGATGGACGTGCACAACCAGGGGGTATACAGGGTTCACGCACGTTTATTTTCGTCTTTGTATCTCTTTGTGTTGCTATATTATAGCTAAGCGGGATGTAATAACAAGGTGAGCTAGGGAAGCCCTTCTCCTTCAGGGTAATTCCAGTTTCAGATTTGGAAGGAAGTTTAGATACCAGCTCTCTAGCCTCTTCCTTGGTCCAGGAGGTGCTAAGTTGTGTTTTGTGGCTGGCTAGTCGTTGATAGCGCCAGCGTACCATTCTATCCACCTCTTTTTTTATTACTCATCCTCATTATTTCAGAGAAGGGATCCTTCACAGTTTTCGTTTCTCACTACTACCTGGTTGAGGTCACTTAAGAGACCTGTTTGCTGGTAGGTGAGAAGCCTCAGCCGACAAAAGCTTTTGCTAGGCAAGCCTGGAGACCTGTGTTCGACCCCTGAAGTCACGAAAAGGTGGAAGGCAAGGACTCATGGCGCAGAGTTGTCTTCTGACTTTCAGAGGTGTGCCCTCTTATGCGTGCCCCACCCCACCCCATCATAAGCACACACACTAAATAAAAAGAAGGCATTGGGCTGTATTTAGAGAATTTTCGGGCTGCTCCAAAATGTCATGTCATTTCTTAATAATTTTTCAGCCTCTTACCAAGATGACATAGTCTGTTATGCAGACTGACTATGGAGAATCAGTCTTGTTTTTAACCTAGTTTTGAGTTACATTGTTCTTTCTCCCACAACAATTTTATCTTATTTTATTTTATGTTATGTTATTTTTTGGGACAAGGTCTTTCTTACAGAGCCCTGGCTGTCCGGGAACTCTCTATGTAGACCAGGCTGGCTTTGAACTCACAGAGCTCCATTTGCCTCTGCCTCTAGAGTGCTGAAATTAAAGACCATGCCCAACTCTCCCCCCTCACACACAACAATTTTGAAACAATAACAAATGAAAAAAGTTGCAAGTATGGCACACAGTTGCTGCTGTTCTGTTTTATTGTTTTGAATATTTTGAGAGGAAGCTGCTGACCTTATGCCCTGTCACTCAGAATGGTGTAGTGTGAATTTTGTACAGACAACATTGTCCTACACAATGACAGTGCAGTTATCAAAGCAGGACATTCACACTGACTCAGTATCGCACTCAGCATGGGTGGTGTCCATTGTGCGGTTAATCTCATAACTGGCAGAAGGAGTCGTCAGTACAGTTCGGTTTGCATGGTTCCCTTGTTTCTTTAGCCTCCCTCTTTCAGCATGGAACAGTTCCCTCATCTTTTTCTTGAACTTGTCACTTTTGAAGATTGCAGGTCAGCTATTTTTGTAGAATATCTCTCAATTTGAAGCCTCTGTGTGCTCATAGTTGGATACATACATGTGGGCAAGTAATGGTCACTGTCTTTCAAGCTGGTACACACTTTGACTTTGATTACTTGTAATCAGTGTCTGCCAGGCTTTTCTTTTCTTAAACATAGTTTTTAATTGATTCTTTGGGAATTTTATATCATGTACCCCAACCCCTCTCATTTTCCAGTCCCACCACATCTGCCCCTCACCCCTGTAGTGTCCCTCCAAAAGAAAATTAAAAAATATTAATTAAAAACAAAACAAACAAAAATCCTCTTCAATTCTCCACCTTTCCCACCTCTCCAGCCTTTCTCCATTTGTCATAGTGGCATTAGGAGCTCCAGTGTGTCACGCAGCACACCCCTTTGTCCATCCAGCTTTACTTGCGAATGTTAATTGTCATGTTGTTGGTCTGGCTCAAGGACCGGGGCTTCTGGTACACCATCAATGCTCTATCCTCATGGAAACTCCTCTCAGATATCCTGCTGTTGCCTGAGTCACTGGAGATCTTGTGGTTATGGGTCCACAGGCCCAGCCCCTTCACACACCCCGGCAGGTCATAGATGGGGTGGATGTTGTGGTGGGCCAACTCCAAAGTCCTGGATGTTGGTCAGGCTAAGCTGCTGGGCCCGCCCCCTCAGGCACAGGACAGAGCCAGCTCTTCTACCATTGGGGCCAGCTCCTCCACTCCTGTGATGAGGGGCGGGGTCAGCTCTTCTGTGGTCAGAGAGGATCAGCTCTCTGAGGGCCATCTGCCATGCTTTTCTACTACAGAGTTGATCCTTCTTTTCAATGAGTACCTCATTAGGATTTTAATGGATTTGTCATACACTTACATCAATATGGATTCATGATTTACGTGTCTTTTGTAGTGGATTGTACTGCTATTGTTTGCTTTAGTCAGCTGGGGTTATTATAACCAGGTACTGCCAGCAAATATGAGGTCTAGTCAGAAGCATGCTTGCACACAGCCATACTCTCACTTTAACTTCAGTGGCCTAAAGGGCCACGTGAGCTTTATAGGAGCTCTTTAATAAGGGAATGAAACTATTTATGAGGACACCAACCCCATGACCTGAGTACTTCCCAAAGATCCCATGTACTTCTGTTACTTTGAGTGTTAGAACTTCAACATAGGAATTTTGGGAGGACACAGATATGTAGACCATTTATTTTGATGTTTAAATTGTTTTGCTGTTTGACCCCTGAGAGCTCATGTATTTGGCTTCTGTGTCCTTTCTGTGTCCCCATCATTCTTTGAGGATCATTACTCTTTTTTTCATCATTACTTTTTGACATGTTCCTGGCACACGCGCGAGCACGCGCGCGCGCACACACACACACACACACACACACACACACACACACACACGCATTTCTCTTTTGTGGTGCTAAGGCCCTGACGTGGGGTCACTTACATGATAAGCCAGTGTTCTGTCATTGGGCTACATGCATTCTTAGTGCTCCTGGATTATTTTGCACTTTTTTGTCTTGGCCCTGGAATCAACTATTTTTCTAGGGGGTCCCTGCTTTCTCCCAGTGAAGGTTAATTTTCAGTGCTAACATTTTTATTACTATTGGGTTATAACTATTCCCAGGCCCTCTTCATGGTTGAAATTGGAGGTTCTATTTATGTATAGATACACACATATCTATATTTCTGTCTCTGTATTTCAGTGTATACATTGAAAACTATGAACTCACTCTAGTACCTCGGACTTCAGCCTAACAATCTAGCATTTGCCTTTCTTATGTTGTAATGATCTTCTCAAACATGAGAAATTGGGATTCATTAATCCTTCACATACACACACACACCTTGGTTTTTGTTGCTGTTTATAAACCACTCCTTTCCCCTCCATGCTGAGGCTATTTCTTCATTCCATATCCTCTTCCCTCACCTCCAGCCCTGATGGATCTCAGAGCCCATATCAGGATGCCACGACACAAGGTTCCCCCCTTACTTGTGCTCTGACTCCTTGTGTTGGAGTCTTCCCTTATGTGCACACCCTTCACATTCTGCCCAGACTCTGACTTCCCACTCAAGGTTGTTCCCTTGTGACGGCAACCTCCTCACTCTCACTTCCTCTGCACCTCAATGCTCCAGGCCAGTTTGCTTCACCTGCTTTGACCTGGGGGCTCTGACAATGTGTTTGGCTCTGGCTGTTCTTTTGCTTGTTTTTGTTGTTGTTGTATTTTATTTTATTAAGGCAGGGTTTCTCTGTGTAGCCCTGGCTGTCCTATAACTAGCTTTGTAGGCCAGGCCGGCCTCAAACTCACAGAGATCTACCTGCCTCTGCCTCCTGAGTGCTAGAATTAAAGGCATGTACCACCATTGCCCATTGTTTTGACTGCTCTTTTACTGCCTGGATTTTCCCTCTAGAACTCTGTTGACATTTTGCAAGCCCCACCTCTATCCTATGGCTATTATGACTCTCTTTCCCACGCCTAACAAAGGTTATATTTTTTCTTTCCTTTCCCTTTTTTAAAAAAGAACTCAGAATGTTGCATAAATTATAATCTTGAGTATGAAATGCATGCTTTTTTCTGTCTAGGATAATTTTTGTAGTTTATTCAACAATAATTTATGTGCAAAAAGTTTAAGTGAACAGTTGAGTGGTTTTAAGCAACTATATATACTAGTGTAGTCACTACCGCAATCAAGATATAGAACATTTCCTTCTCTACAAAGAGTCCTCTTTTTGTAGATGCCCTTTGCAGTGTTCTCCCTTGCTTGCCTCTGGTCGTTGCAGATCTGCTTTCTGTCTGTATGTCTTTGTCTTCTCTAGAGTGGCATATAAATAGATCAGACTTTTTTTTTTTTAAATGGCTGCCTTATTTTCCACTTAGATTCATGCACTGAGATTTATCTGTGTTGTATTTATTTGTAATTGTCCCCTTGCACTAGCCCCCTTTCCCT